ATTCAATTTATGGAGCTAGTCAGTCATCTTTAGTTCATGTGACAATGAGCAAGATCACAGTGTCCTGTGTTAGTTTTAGTGATTAAAAGCTATCCATCAGGGGCTGCATAGGATTTTATATCTACAATAAATAGAGCTCACTGGGATTTATTCAGATAATGCTCCCCACAACACTAACACCAGTAACTTGCTGACAGACAAAAACCCTGTATCTGTAACCAGAAGCTAAACTACTTACACAGACCAATATGTTTAGTTCAGAATTAAAGCAGGTAATATTTTCTTTAGAGAGTCTCAGTGGTGCAAAATACTCTCTCAGGAAAGTCAGCCTGAGACAGTATCTTTCCCAATGTGCTCTTTCTACAAAGACATAACGAGTGTTTCTGAGCCAGCCATTTGTAGCATAATGAAAGAAGTGACTTCTTGCCCCAATGGCAATTCTGAAATTTTAATGATAAAAAACCCCAAGTTTTCTGGTACTGTAATATTCACTGGGGCAGAGCACATAGATTCAACATGTAAATGTTTCCTAGTTTGTGGGGTTCTTAAGCACTGTTTCAGGACTTCTTTTGAAAGCCTGTGTATAAGCTTATACAATACATTCAAGGCACAACAGTGTGCAAAGTCACTATGAGCTGAGCCTTCCCTGTGATACGTCTGAACTGTGAAAACAAGTCAGAGGTAAAGAGTCCCCACTCCACTCCAGTACAAAAGCAGGGTGCAACACAGGCTTCTGCCCAAGAGAGGGTTTAGATGGCAGATGGACTAGCTACTGTATTGTCTGGTGCGGCAGACCCAGAGAGGCCCGATATGGCTGCTAGATGGCGCAGTCAGACCACCAGCAGAGCTCTTGTATGTTGCAACATACCACAAGGGGCACAGATGCTTCCTTTTTCAGGTCTGACCACGTTCACACTAACAATGAAGCAGGAAATTGGACCTACCAGCTTATGTTGTACTTTTACCACGCATATCAATTCCATTTACCTGGATTCACCCTACCTTGCAAGAGGACATTTAACTTTAGGCTCATAAACCAGGGACCTACCAAATTTGGGGCAGTTGCCTCCCAATTTTGCAGTCCAAGCACAGTGCCAGTGTTGTGGCTTCCCCACTCCCCTCCCACCTCTGATTGGCCAAGGGGCCCCAACAGTCCCACCCCTCCCTGGAGATTGACAGATGGCCATCTGTGAATCTCCAAGGAGGGGCAGGATTTCAGGGGTCCCTCTGCCAGAGGTGTGTGGGGAGGGGGGGCACCATGCATTGCTATGAACATCTCCCCCCATGCTTCAGGAGGCCAGGGTTTCCCACCATTTGCCATTTGCAGCTCCCTTCCCATCCCCGAACCCCCCACTTGCTCACTGATTTCATGCATTTTCACAGGGACCTACTGATTTTGTGGTTTCTGTGAAAATCACAAATTCAGCAGGTCCCTACTCATAACCCCGTAGAGTTATGGGCAAGATTTGGCTGCAATACCTGCTTTAGCTGGAAGAAACGGAGCCTAACGCTCTGGAAAAATATATTTTGAAAGCCTCTGGCTATATTACACAGGAACCCACCTAAGCGGGTATTATGGAAACTTTTTTTTTTTTCCTTTTTGGCCTTTGGAGGTAAAAGGCATGCCAGAAGAGAACACTTCTACTAGCAAGGGGTAAAAAGGAGTACAGTATAAGGATAACCTTTGCAGATTAAAGTGTGACCATGAGCTACTAGCTACAGCTTCTGGATTTCTTGAAGTTAACTGCATCAGCACCTGTATTTCAAAGCCTTGGATCTTCTGTAATAATTACACTAAAATAGTTATACCATAAATTGTGAGAATGAATCTGGAAAAAAACACTACAAAAGATGTCCCATAAATCAAATGTCTTAAGAACCCCTGGATTTTCTATTCTCAATAATAACTAGTTTACTTCTCTCGCAAACTGTTTCTTCGTCCTTATCATTTCTAACAAATACCTCCTTGAAAATAGCTCTTTCCAAATTAATGGATTTCAGATTTTAATTCTATTGTACTAATTCATTTTACTATGCCTCCTATGTTTGGCCTTTGTGAAATAGGGCCAGATTCTCCACCACGGAAGTCCAGCAAACTTTGCTGGTGACTTCACTGACAGCAAGCTTGAACCTGTAACTGGCCTTGATTTGGCTTGAATTTTAAGGACCCCGATTAAGGTAAATCTGTTTTGAGATCAGTAAATCAGTTCCTTCCATTTCATGAAACTTTGCAAAATGGTTTCCATCAGGCATTTTAATCTGTAATGCATGAGTTATTACCATCAGTATAAACAGGAACTCCATGAGGAAAAGCACTCACTTGTCTCTCCCAGCTCTTGGGAACAGAGTGCTGCATTTCCAGTTTCCAACCTCGTTTTAGAATCCTGTGCAATGGTTCAACAGATGGAGGCGTCTGCACTAAGACAGGGATAAGTTTACTTACCCATAAGTCTAGTTCATTGAAGGTATCATACAAGATTCTCACTCGTGGGGTTTGTGTACAGCACAGGGCAGGATTTCTCTAATGTTTCTGACCCTCTGAAATAGTTTTAAAAAAGTAGGCTGCATGCATAACTTTTCCCATTATAGTCAGGGACATGCCATCAATGACTATTATTTCAGCGCCTGAACAAGATCAGAAACAAGTACTTCCAGCAAAAAACTGGGGATTCTCATTCCTGCAAAGTAAACAGTTTAAGAGATGCCCCAAAACAAAACTATCATAAGGAGGGCACAAATTAGTCTGAAATTTAGGAAAAGAACAAAAAAAGTTTTACATTTTCAGATAATAGTAAGGATGAGATGGCCTCAAAACAGGCACAAAAAGCTGTCAAAGATATGCTCAAAAAATATCCCACTGCTTTCAGAACAAGATGGATTTAAGTGGGGGACACCCTGAAAAAAAAACCTCCAGAGACCACAATAAATTGTGTTCAAGGCTTTGCTTTGCTGAAAGAATGAAGTCAATTCATCTCTAGAGATAGAAACTAAGCAGTGACGCCTTAACAAGCGTATGCAGAGGGCCATCTGGCTGCCTTACGGATGTCTAAAATTAAAATATCCCTGAGATTCTAAAAGCTCAGTCACATTGTGAACTGAAGCTGCTGTCACCAATACATGATCTCTAATGTAAGAAACTAAGAGACTTTCACACTTTTCACAATGAGGAGTATTTCTGGGGACTAGCTCCATGCTAGACTTACAGAAGTCTTGGGGAAAAATTGTACTCTAAAAAGAATATACCCAAAATGTAATAGTCTGGATAACCTTTGAGGCCTGACGTATGTAAAAATGCTTAACTCAAGCTGAAACAATCAGTTGCACTCAGCAATGACTGATTTCTTTCCAAAGTAAATTATTTTTGGAAGCTGCCGAATCTTTATTTCCTGAGGAGATGGAGAGGTAAGGTACTGCCATGAGAAAAGCAAATGAAAGGAAAAACCCACCAAAGTACCAAGATAGCATCAAGGGTAGTGGGAAAATATGCATGCAAGCGCCAAGAGAAAACAGCTCAGCACCACTCAAAACACCAAACTGCTGTTCTTGGAAAGAGCGCGTGATAAAACCCAGAGACCTGAAGACAAAGTGACGAATGGAATACAACAAACAATGAAAGCTATAAAGCAAAGTGCCAAGAATTGCCAAGCAATTCCAGAAAGCTTTAAGAAAGGAGGCTGCAATGGAGTTAAGGATTCAAGCAAGGTGGTATTCTTGGGTTCCAATGATTGGGTAACAAATAAATTTGAAGGAACAGTTGGCTGAGAACTCAGAGTCAGAAGAGAGCTTAAAATTTTCCACCAGGCTCCTGAGGGGAGATCTTTCAGTAGTCAAAGAAGCCAGGGTGGAAGACGACTGGTACAGATGCAGGGCATTTATTGACCATTCATTACAATTACCCCTAGAGCCTCGGTAGATCACTTTTGCCATGTTTCAATGGTGGAAGCAGTATATCCAAGAATAAAAATCCTGTAGTAATATTTCCTTTTAAAAAACAAACTCCTAATGACCAGCACTCTAAAGGAAAACAACAAACAAGAACAAAAATTGAAAAATCCTCCAAGAAATATTTTCATCTTGAGTGCTTACCCAATTATCCAATATACCAAGCACTTATTGGAAGAATGTTTTCCTTTAAATGGTATTCACTGTGTGCATCTACACATTCATTAATGCGCAGTGGTTACTGCACATTTATTTAATACTTGATTATACAAGTACTAAATTAAATTTGCAGTAACCAGAGTTACTGTGCACTAGTGCTGCTGAACGTCTTTTTAGTGATGCTATTGTGCGACAGTCTAATAATACTGTGAGATAGCATATTAGCACTGTTTGGGCTGCGATGCACTACTACTGCGCAGTTAGTGTCTCATGTATACACGTCTACTGTGACCAAAAAGGTGTCAAACCCTGCTCATTTTATTCACATGCATAATCCAAGAAAAGTGAATGGACCTGCTCAAGTATATATAGCAAATCAGGATTTATCTCAAAGAGCATATTGCCCATACTTGAATGAGAAAAGGATCCTTGGTTGAGCTGAAACAATATGGTCTTCAGTGAAGATTCTGGTGTCTGGACACAAATTTTGCCTTGACGTATTTAAAACACTGAGGCACCAGGAAAATTTTCAAGTTATTACAGCAAAAAAAGCAATCATCATCATCAAGACCAAAAAAAATTAAATATATTCTGGAAATACATTGCTGCCCTCAAATGAGGTAGGCTGCCCCACTTCGGGTTCTTTAGTTTTTAACCCAGTTTTCACTTGCTTCAGTATTCTTTCCCTTTGACCAGGTTCCTGAACTGCCACAGCTGGTGTTATTAGTAGGCTCAGAAATTCTGATTTTAATTAGAAACTTTATTCTGAAATACATTACATAGTTTACAGGTGGTAAGAAGTGGTGTCATTGAGAGATATTTCAGAACACTATGCTGAGTAAAATGGTTGTCAGATTTTCCTTGGAAAGTTTCCAGTTGTTTTTTTAAAAAAACAAAACAAAACAAAGAAAACAAAAATATCTTCTTACAGAGCAGAGATGCAACTTAAAAATATCTGTATTTAAAGGTTATTACTACATTTACCTTATGGAGAAAGGATATGTTTAATCAATTCAAATAACTGCACATTTCAATGTCACATTTGGTATTATGGATGACAAATTCAACTTCTAAATAATCCTTGAATTGATAAATTTTTTTAAAAGAAATGTGTTAATTTCAATGACAAAATCATCTCTGATAAATAAGGCACAGTCAGAAACCTCTGAAACTATAAGTGACTACCAATTCAATTTTACTTTTACATATTTCTGTTTTTCTTTGATAGCCCAAAACAGTTTTCTGTCTGCTGCTGTAAGTTTTCAAGAGGTCAAAGCAGCAAGGCAACAAACAGAGAGAAAACACGCAAAAAATGTTTGGAGTTTATGATGGCTTAGAAATATCTGTAAAGTAGTTCATTTTTATAAATGGAGCATTCACCTGATATAAGAGAAGTGGTGACCATCCAAAGAAAAATACGGGTATGGCATTATTGCTGCAAGTAGTGTCCAAGCTACATATCAATTCCCAAAATTCCAGAAAACATCACATCTGGCACAATTTAAGCTGGAGACATCATGTGCAATGATGCTCAGAAGTGTCATTCGATCTTATTTATCAATGTTCCTCGCTCCACCACAAGCCAAGTATAACACAAACGTAAAGGCTGCCTACTTTAGATCACAGCTCAGGGAATATTAACTCCATTTAGATAAAGAGTAACTACTGCCATCACAGTTTGTGCTACTTATTAAACAAAACAGTCTTCCAAAATGGTGCTAAATGAACAAACAATTCATATTTTCATTGGAAAAAGCTCAAGAAACCCATAAGATGTGGTGATGTTTTAAGATACTGGAACACATTTTTAAAACAATATTTAAACTTTCAAATGTGAGGGTTTTCCCCACTCAGATCCTTAAGATCTGATGTGGCCTTTATGATCTGTGAGTTTTCAGATTCACCTCATCTGTAGATTACTGTTTTCAATCTTAAATCAAGGCAAGTAAAGTAGTGTATTCATTTTAGTTTAATAAGCTTCAAGCAAAAAAATCACCAAAATTGGGTTTTTTGACTATTTGTATCATAAGTTAGAAGATAATGTTATATGTTGTTCTGTGAAACAAATACAAGCACTAAAAATACAAAAGTTTTTAAAAAAACATTTGCAAAGCTGAACTCATATTGCAGCTTTGAGGTAAAAAAATTCTGTAAATGACAGTCATGACAAATGTTGAATATAAAATACATTCTAAAAGTACTTTACAGAATGGTTGAGTTTCCTTATCAGGCATAAAAGCTGAGAAGAAATGAAGTTATGATTAGCAGTTCACATACAGAACACAAAGCAATAAGTTTAAATCAGACTATTTTGGTTTGTGTAGCCCTTTATTAGCAACTAAAATAGAAGATATCTGTTGTACAACACGGGTAGTAACTGACTATACTGGAGATTTATTATATTCTAATACAGGATCATTTATAAATGCATTTTTATTAAAAAGCTTCCACCCCTTTTTTCTGTTTACAACTTGCAAAACTATTCTGAAAGCTGAGTACATGTGCACAGGTCTGCAAAGAGTGCAAATTTAGGATATGGTAAATGCTTTACATGTTGTACTTTTAAGGACTGTCTGCCACCATGCCTTTACAATCTTCATCACTTTTTAAAATCACAAAATATTGACAGACACCAGCCTTTCTTCCATTGTCCTAAACAAGAAAGCATTTTTAAATGAGTTGAAACTAAGGAAGGACTACACCTACTAGAAAAGAAGAGAGTTCTATTAGTTTGAGGTTTCAGTATACCCAAAGACCAGGAACTGTATCTTTGCAAGGGCTAGGCTGGGACCCCGTATAGAGAGTGTGTGCAGGTGCCATCCCTGAGTATTCAAAGTTTCAGTGGACCATTAGTGCTCCAGCTGCGTAACTCACTGAGCTGTCTTGCCAGTTTCGACACTGGCTTGATTGGGCATAATTCAAAAATGAAAAGCTCATATTCATTCCATTCTTCTGGAGCTCATTGATAGCCTAGGAGAAACAAAAAAAAGTGTAAGGAAAAAATTATTTGTGAGATATTTCAAGCGATCGGGCTTCTCCTAATTTCTAGCTCTCAATCCTTCCACTCAAGCAGGACTCCATGACTTCCTGCAACACCTTTGCTCAAAAAAGCTAAAATGATTGAACATATGACATCTTCTGAGAAAAAAACCCTGTTTTGCAGGGGGCTAGAAATTTAAGCAAGACAGCCATAACTAAGGAGAATGACAGAGCTTGATGACTTTGAGGCAGATGGGCCATTAAAGAGAAAGAAAAACATGGAGCAAAAAAAAGACATCTGAAGATGTAACATGAGAAGACATGAAAGAAAGGAACACTACTTAGATTTATTTCTAAACTCCACTTTAAATACAAAGGATCATACTATTTTTGGAATATGTGCACCACCATAATGTTTAGCTTTATTACATGTATCCTATCCTAATCTAATCACATGCTCCCACAATAAAGAGATTCCTCAGCATATTCTCCAGAGATCAACCTCCAAAGAAATAAAACCTTCTCTGCTAAAAAGGAATGATATACTTCTTATTTTTATGTAAGGCTAAATTTGCTAGGGTGGCTTCAGCTGATTTGCACCATTCCAGCAATGCTATGAATACCAATGACCCAGCTCAGTAAAGGTTTATCTTGGCACTGCATCACTAGAGGGGCACAAAGCACCCAAAGCATACCAGCTGTGAATGAGACGGACCCATAATTGTTCCTTTTAAATTTAGGAGCTGACCTTTGCAAAGCCACATTATGTTACTGGACTATCTCCATTACATTTGTAAAATCTGAGACACAGTCAGACCTCAAGGTCGCCAGACAGAAAATACAAAGACAGACTTTGGAGGGTTGTTTTGTTTTGTTTTGTTGGGGGGTTTTGCGGGGGGGGGGGGTAGATTCAATATTAGAATGAATTCAGAAGTGAAAATTGGTACTTGTCACTAGGACTGAAAATTGAAGTGCCTAAAAGAAATTAACCATCTATTCCCCATTTCACTTCAGTGGAACTGGGTGCCTTGTTTCCCTCAGGCTCTTCTGAAAATCTTAACCCTGGAAAAATGCACAATTGCCAATGTACCATGCTAGAAAAACAAAGACAGCTGAGAACACTTGAAAATAAACTGGATTTGGACTTGCAATCTCAGAGCTACCAATTTTGCTTAAAAATTTAAACAAATTTTAAAAGACTTTTTTTTAACAGACAGTTGTACTCACATTTAATAATACCCCAATAGGATGTCTTCCACATATTGTATTATGGTATTTCTTCAAGTAATTGCTAAAAGATACAGGGTCTAGCTGTTCTATAATGCTCATACCCTGAAAAAGAATCAATAGCAATGATTACTATTTCCTTAGAAATATAGGCACTTTACAGTTGCTATCTATCACAACTACATCTCCCTCCCCTCCCTTCTCAAATGCTCAAGTCTGAATCAACGAAGTCTCATGCAAATGAGCGGCATTTTATACTTGTATATAGACAGAGGTTTTGACAGTGATCTGACATATGTGGAGCTATCTTCACATCTTCAGAAATGCACTATGAATGACTGTCTTAATACTGTTCCTAATGCCTACCCCCACACTCCTATATAGCTCTGCTCCCTGAGCAGCTTCACTCCTGATAGGGTTTTTTGTACAGCAGCAGCATCAAGGCCCAGGCTGGCAGAAAATCTATGCGAGAACAAAGCCTATTCACCTACACTAAACACTGATGTATATGCAAGTTTAAATAGGATCATACCAGTGTTCCAGGCAAAGACAACTCTTTCCTTGTCAGTATATAATTCAAATCAAATAAATGAAAGACAGTTTAATATAAATCTAACCCTGTTATAGGCAAAGATTCTGCCTCCCACAGCTGTTCTCTGGCAGCTTCTCACCAGACAGTATTAGATATTGTGCTTCCTTCCCCTTCTGACAACTACTTAATCCATTTGAAATCTGCAACAGGTTACTGGGGTCCAACTGCTGACCAACTCAGTAAGAGGTATACCCTTAGGCTAGGGACAGACATTACACATATACTGATTTAAGTGATCAGAAACTGGTTTAAATGTGTAACAGAACAAATGCTCAGTGTACATAAACCAGTTTGAAAATGGCTGAAACCAGTTTGAGATAAACCTGGTTGATGTAGTATCAGACTTAACTGATTTGGGTCAAACTGGTTTATGCAATGTCTGTCCCAGATCCCTTACTGGTTTAAGTTAAATCAGAGTCCCCCAGCATCCCAGATGCTTTGTAAACCTGGGCAGGGCTCTGCTCTCTGCTCCAGCCCAGCAGGGCTGGCTCCTCCCCTCTGCTCTCTAGCTACAGCTCCAGCAGAGACTGCAGGTACAGCAGTGTCTGCCTGGCATCCTCCTGCTCACCCCCGCCACCACCACCATTCCCTGCTCAAGCAGGGATTCCCCCCCTCCCCTCTGCCTTAGAGGCCTCTCAGCATTAGCTAGCATACCACATGCTGGCTACAGTCCGTGGTGTGGGAGACGGGACAAAGGCAGACAAGACGGTGTTGGCTTAGGGCTTTTTGGAGCTATTGAACAGGTAGCTGGTAATGTCCCCTCCATTTGTTCCTTGAAAAAAGTTGCCTTTGTTTTGCTTGATGGTGTGCTAAATGGTAACAACTGCCTGTTTAACTCCCTGATGTGTAACTAAATGCTCTGTTATCAACTCCCCGCTGGCTCCCTGGCTGGTCAGGAGGGAAACCCTCCCTAATCAGACCACCCTGCCAGGGCCTGGCCCCCCCCGCCCCCAGCTCAGCACTATGGAAGGAAAGGGAAAGGAGGGCTGCTCTGGCGATTACAAACTGGTTCAGCCTAGCCAGGTTAGACTAACCTGCAAAAATTGAATCAATTCAGACTCAGGCTTTTAGAATGTCTGTCCCTAGCCTTATTCTATTATCTGTACCTGAGAGGAAAAGAAGAACTAAACACTGTGTCATGGAGAGGGAAAGGGGTTCACAGTGAAGAGAGATCATTCTTTCATACAGAAAGTTCTCTCAAGTTTTGCTTTTGTATATGAAGGGATGGGAAAGAAGTGGAGAATAAGAGGAGAATGTGTGATTAACAAAGCCTTTCAAGTTGCCACCATAACAAAGTGTTAAGAAGGTGAAGGGCCTTTAACAGCGCTGAAGGGAAGGGAGATGAGTATGCTGCTTACACGTACAACTGTTCTCTTACCCAAAAGACAGTCAAATTCTGCAACTGTCTTGTTGTTTTCAAGGGATTTAAGAGGCACTCTCTGTCCCTTTCACTTCCAAACTCATGCCAACCTTTGCTGACACAATCAAAGTACCAACAGGCATATAGATTGTAATCAGCTTGCCTTACAGTTGCTGAATGGTGCGAACTTTTGCTTACTGCTGAACATTGGTGACAGATTATTTGAAAATAAACTAACTCTGTGGCCTGTCAAGTTTTACACACTGTACAGCAGTATAAAGCAGAATCAAACTTAAATGCATGGCCACGTGAAATGAAACATTCCAACTGCAACCATCCCTATTTTAAACAATTGGAATATAGTTGCAAATATAACAAGAAAACCACTGTTTCATGAATTGTTTTAAAAATAAGCATAGTACACAAACTGTACTGAGCCAAGAGATTTATTTCACAGCCATGAGTCACTGAAAAGTCCTTTGCACAGACAATTTAGCAACTGTCTCAACTAATGGGCATGGATTTATCAGAATGCCAAGTAAGCAGATTTTGACGGAAGAAACACCACTGTGGAACATTTAGAGTTATGCAGGTCACTAATGAACACTAGTAAAAGCTGCATTCTACTACAGGCTACACATGCTACATGTTTTGTAGGGGGAAAAAATTAGACCTGGTTTAGAGAATTTTTTCAGGTAAGCAATTACTGATTTGGGGTGGCTCAACTCCTCTGTGCTCTACCCATCGTGCCAGGAGGATATAATTTTTGCAAGTGTTGGGTACCCACAATGTCAATGAAAAAAAATGTGAACTGAAGGTATACTGCATCTTTGAAAATCAGGTCTCAAAGTACCCATAGTTAGCCACTCTTAATTTTGGACCAGGCTACTTGAGAACTGGACAGTTTGTATATTAAATCTTAAAAGTGAAAGAGATGATGAGACAACATGTTTTAATTAGCAAAATTTTCAAAATCACCACCACCACCGCAATTCAACAAGTAAAATTTCTCTTTTCTTCAGTATTAAGACAGAGATCTAGCAAGATTTCAAAAAAGGAAAAAATGTTATATTTATGAAAGATCAATTTTTTCTTTCTATTCCATGGGTATACCTCCATTAAGTTTGATGGAAGTATCAAACATACAAATGTAACAGAAATGAGGAATCATGGAGAAGTGTTTAGTCATGAACAAAGGGAACTACCTTTCAAACATTTTTGCAGAATGCTCTGTATGCCCTCCCATTCTTACTTCACAGGATTGTGGCAAAAGGTATTTAATTAGGGGTCTCCTTTAGTCAAAGCAAAACAAAATCTTAGATTATTGTTAACTGGCTGCTAAAAATGCAATGTGGTGTAAACTATATTCTGGCCATGTTAATTATATACATGCCTTTACAGCCGTGTCTACTTAGGAGAACTGACCAAAATATACATTTCAGAAAACCTGCCCCCACCCACGCCCAACATGCACCCTACTGAAGAATTTTTAACAGTCAGTGTACTCCAGCGTGCTTAAGTGCATGCTTTCTGAGCAGACAAAGTACCTTCCTCATCAGGAGGCAATAAAGAGGAAGTCAGTAGTAGTAACAGTTATCATCTCTGTCAGTAGGAAGCCAGTCTTCTTCCAAAACAGAGGCTTTCTTCCTTGCATCTGTTTGTGGGGGGCTAGAGGATATAGCTGCACCTTTGCTTCTCTATCACTGTGAAAGAACTCAGGGGTGACTGATGCCTCCTTGGGCACAATTTGTGGGTGGGCCTGGGCCAAAAGCCCCATATCCACTCTTATACTTCTGTGCCATGGCTTAGTGCCCCCCGCAACACGCTGCTGGTCCACGTGACAAAAAAACTTGTCATGTCCTGAGCAGTGCCGAGCCAGGGGGCCAATCTCAGGGAGGTATGTGCGCCCCGCCCCCATATTCCCCCCCTACCAGTTGCCTGTGAAAGAACTAGTACTATATCTGAAGAAAATGTGAGGTGGGTGAAGACTGGATATGAAAATGAATGCATTCCCACCAAAAGCTCAGGAAGTGTGTGGTAAGCCACTGGCAGGAGGAGAGTACTGCAACATCATCCTCAATTCCAAGGATGCACAGACTGTGCATCTGCTACACACAACTGCTGAGAAAAAGCTTCCAAAATTATTAAAGAATAAAATCTATTCTGAGGGTCTCCATCCTATTAATAGGGGGGAAAAACCAAACCCCAAATGGATGAGATTTGAGATAAGAAGCTGGCTTACAAATATGTTGGGACTCCCCATAGCAGTGGTTCAGACACGCCACAAATCAGCCCTGCACTGTCCTTGAGGGCCATTTTGATCCCCTTCCTCTACCAAATCTGCTGCTTTGCTTTTTTCTCATTGACTTGTGCTCCCTGCCTGATCTGCTGCTCTGCTCTCTGCTTCCTGCCCTGTTTGCCGCTACACTGCCTGTCCTGTCCCCAATCTCCCATATGGCAAACATAGAGGCTGCCTGTGTTACTTGCAGCACATGCGCCACAGGGTGGTCACCTCTGCCCTACAGGAACAGATTATCATATATTTAAATACATCTGATGTTGGTTAGAAGAGAGAAGATGAGCATTAACAGACCCAAATCACTGTACTGCAATGCAGTAACAGATTTAAAGAAAAAAAATCCAAATGAGACTGAAAATGACTCTGATTAAACAGGGTACAGTAGGAATTACTTCCACCAAATTATCAACTCTTTGCCACATACCTACCAAAGAAAAGAACTAGACAATTCAAAAGTTTGCTGTCTGCAAACGTGAATCTCAGAAATTAACAGGGGAAACCTGGTGTAAGCTGCCATACCTTAATTACCTTTTTTCAAATTGGGTCTTGTCTTAATTGACACAGTAAGGAAAAAAAATGCTGTAAAAGATCTAATTACTACTCTACCACTCCTGATGGGAAAAAAAGTGAATGGCAGGAAACAGATGCTTGTACAGTCATGTAGAAAAAGATGCTCCAGGAATATTGCCAAAGGGGAAAAGCGAGAATAACTTCAACAGGCAGCATTTAACAGCTTAAAAAGCTGAACAAGATTTGCAAAGCAACAATTCTCTTTTGACAAGTATTATAGAGTTATGGATGTCAGTAGCAATTTTGTGATTTAAATATGCTAAGATTGACATTTCAAGCAAAATTAAACCTTTAAAATCAGTTTTGAGATTTCAGCATAAAACTCTTCAGAGGTCCATCAGTCTCCACTTTTTTATTAAACAAATCTTTTAAAAATGTTTCCTTTGCAAAAAATAAAAACAATAAAAAGAATTTAAAAAATAAAGTCCCGTGTCGTTTCCCCCATCTACCCCCCCCCCGCCAAATCTTATTTCTGTAGTTAAGGAATCAGTTAGCACTAACTCAGAATTTTATGCACAGGTGATTTCTCAATACAAACAACCAACAACTAAGAACTGTGCTTACGCTGAGTTACTCTTTGCCATCTTCTTCCCTCCCCTATCTACTGCCTGCTAGGGCTGTGAGAAATTTCGTCGGCTGTTCTGTTCCAACACTATTTCAACCAATTTTGAGGTCGAAACGGCAAAATCAGAACAAAACAAAGGCCCTCGAAATAGCCTTGAAACAAAATGAGGCTGGTCGAAATGTTTCAAAAGTTGAAAAATTCCGACCAGTTGGGCTGACTTCCCATCCCCAGCACAAGATCCAGCAGGGGGTGGGAGGCAGCCCAGCTGGGCCCTGCACTAGATCGCACCAGGAGCGATTTTTGTCTTCCAAAATCATAACTTCTAAAATAATCCCTAGCTATTCTGGTTGCAAAACAGTGTTGGAAAACAGAGTGTAATAAATGCAGTGATGCCTGCTTGAGTCTGGAACAATGGCCTCAAGAGATGTTGAGCATCTCTCACACAAAAATCAGTTGCTCGCAAGCCTAGCAAGAGCTGTTTAAAAGTGACACTTTATTAACACTTCCTTGCTTATTAAAACATATTAGAAAGGAGAGTGCAGGTCTATGACCCTTTGCCCCCTATCTGTTTTAAGGGACATCTTAACTAGGCCCCCAAATACTGTAGGTGGTCAAAGAGAACTGCTGCTTTCTCCATCTAGTCAAGAACAAGCCAAGCCCATGGAACCCAGCAGAGTATCTGAGCTTGATGGGGCCAGGATTAGGTAAGCCAAACTAAAGAGGTCCAGTATAGTCCAAATGCGTATTGAAAACCTACTGAAGTCAGGCCAAGCTTGGAAGCATATCTAGTCATATTTTGAGCAGCTATATAATTTAAAACAAATAGCATCTATTTTGCTGATTTACAAAAGTGGAGCTACTTTTGACAATGGAATTTGAAAACAAGTACCTTCAAATATTTTCTCCCTAACTACAGACAATTGAGGCTGTCAAGTTCCAGAATGCTGCATTTTTTCTCAATCCTAGACAGCAACATGCTCTGGTTAGGCAACCTCCAGCTTTCTGTGCTAAGGCAAAAAAGAGCTTTCCCATTCTTCCACCCAGTGTTGTTTCCTCCTTTGCTTTTTGGCAGGTGATGGCACACAGCAATGTTATGCCTCAGGGACACAGGATTTCACCTCCATGAACCCCTCTCCTTACAACACAGCTGTTTTCCTTCTTCTCTGCCATCCCAAGCAGTGACTGTGGCCAGAGACACCTTCCTCAGCGTGACAAAGAGCTCCCCACCTGTACCTCACAAAGTTTTAAGTATTCTTTTAAACTGTTTTCCTCTAGAGGAGGATCTGTCATTTCTCCATAGTAGTCAAACTATTATTTTGTAAATTCCTCTGTGCTCATGAGCAAGTAACTTCATTACAACAACTACAGGAGTTCAGAAAAATACACTGGGAATCACTCAGTATATTTTCTGTCTTTTATTGCTATATAGCAGCTGGTAAATAAAGTCAGAAGCTAACCTAGGTCACCACCCAACATACAGTACTCGCACTTCACTTGTCAGAGTGAGAACTTCTAAACACGACTTAGTTATTTCCCCCAGATAAAGGCACACGTCTCAAATTCACAAAGATTCTTAATCCTGCTGCATGTTGGAAGTTTACAGAAACCTGAAAGAGATGAACCTCTAGCAATGTCTCAATAACATTTTCTGAAAGGCTGGAACAGATGTTCTGCATCTTCACAATGCTGAACTTGGCAGCATCCTTGAAGTCATTTTTCTTAATTCTATTGCTCCCCTGAGTAATGTGGATATATGAATCTAAGAGAACCATGAGTATTTGGCATAAAAGGCTCCAAGACTCCTTCCAAAAAGTTGATGCTGACTGACTAGACACTTCAGAACCTTAGAAAAACCCCTGCAGAATTTTTTTGATTTTCAGGAAATATTGGAATCATCCAAGTCTTGCTGGAAGGAAAGACAAGCATTTTCAGTTTCTGTATATACTTGCATCTGGATTTAATCATTATGCTTTAAGTACATGTTGGTTTTTAGGTTAAATCATTTCCTTCTACATCTAGGGAAGAAAACGGGCAGTCCCAATGGAATAGGAATGGTTTTGTTTTCTTAATCTGCACAATCTCCACATTTTCCCCTCCACTTAGAGTAATTAAGCCTGTTGAAACCATCACCAACACCACAGGTAAGATCCCTGCCAAATTAAACCAGCACTACTATACGTGTGAGCTACCAGAATATTCTGCTTCAGAGTCATAAAGCTCACTGTTTCTCCTACACACATGTACACTGAAGGAATTTCAGGCAGTCAGGTATACATCTATTTTCAGAAGTAATATTTGCAAGATTCCACCCACAATACATTGTGCACACTCAGTAAAATGTACAATACCAGCTGCCAAACTACTGAATGTAATACAATTGTTAAAAACCCTGTTTATGGCAAGTGAAAGGAGAAAATGCATATGCAGCATGTCTGTTCCTGAATATTTTATTAGATTCTAGAAAGGTTCAAGAGACATGCACAGATTCTTTTTTTCAGACAGTTAGTTCCCCCAAATCTGAAAACTTACCATTTTATCTAGGTGCTCAATGGATCTATAAATTTCTCCTTGGGATTCATCATAGTAACTGTAACGGAACCTTTGACCTTCAAACAAAAGTTACATACAGAATAAAAAGGGACAAACTAAACTGGTAGCTAAAATGCTCCCTACCGTATCAGAATCGGATTTATGATATTCATAAAGTAACAATCTTTCTCTGTTATAACTTTCTACTCCACTGAGAGAATCCAAACATTAGTACAGACACTCCCCAAAACCACTTAGGAACACAGGACTGAGAGACATCCTGGGCCAGGGAGTTCAGTCCCCTGTGTTTCCAGGCAATCATTATGCCTTTAAGGGATACTTATACTTTGAAAAATGACTATGTATAAAATGCCACTACTGGCACAATGTGTTAACTGCCTACCCATGTCTTCACATCAAAATTCCCTCAGTTCACAAGTAAATAGACGTGTCTGACTGCCAGCCCCGCAAAAATGTGCAACCTGAAAAAACAAGGTGTTCTCTTCTGCTTGCCCAAAAGCAGCCATGATAAAGATAACATCAGAATTTTAAAAAGAATCCAGGTCATCCTTTCATAGCTCTACTGGCTCCACAATTCTGAGATAAGTAAAATTAACAAAGATGACCTGAATGCAAAAAAGGAAGCACATCTTGGGTAACATGGAAAGTAACAAAAATCATTTGTAACAAAAATGACTACGGGTCTAGAAAATGACTTGCAAGTAAAGGCTGGAAGAACTTTAGGATTATTTAGTCAGGAGAAGAGAAGACTGAAGAAAGATTTGGTACTAGTCTTCAAGTACCTGAAGAATAGTTACATAAATACAATGTTAATAGACTATTTTCTGTGCCTGCAGGGGACAGGATAAGGAGTAATGAGCTTACAATGAAGCCGGGCAAGTTTAGGTTGGATATTAGGTAGAACATTCTCACTATAAGGGTGTTTAAGCATTGGGACAGATTATAGAGAGAGACTGGAGAGATTTAACTACAGGTCAGACAAACAAACACTTGTCTAGGATGTTTTAGACAGGGGTGATCTTGCCTTGATCAAGGTGTTAGACTAGATGACCCCCTGAGATCCATTCCAGGCCTCATTTTCAATTATTTATGTACCGTTTTTTTTTTTTTTTGGAGAACTACTTTTCACCTGTAACCAGTCATTAAAAAAAAACAGGTAAAAGGTACTGGGTAGTTCACAGAAAGACATGGAATCCAGGATTCCTGGATTCTATATTTGGCTCTGTTTTCAAAACCAGTTGGATAATCCTAGGCAATTCATCTGTCTCCAGTTTACCTATTACAAAATAGGTGGACCACTGATTTCTATGGATTTTTGTAAAGCCTAATAAATTAGTTTGCTTATACATATTATAAATCATTTTGAGATCCTTAACAGAAAGACATTAAGAGCTAGGAGATATAAAACATTTTTACTGGGCTATAAAAGTGCAGAGAAGTACAGAAGACCTAGAATGCTCCACCACTTTCCCCAGCCCACTAAGAATTCAAAGACTGACAAACTATTTTGCCTATTTTTTTTTTAGCCTTACAGAAAGCAGAAAGGCATTCAAGTTTAAAGTTTACATTTAGCAAAGATCTCTAAACACCTTCAATATGGTTAAAGAAAGGACCTCTTCAAACATAGCTACAAATTCTTATAATAGAAAGGTCTGTAACTTACCCCAATGGCAAAAGTCAGAAGAAACCACAAAGAGGTTACTAGGATCTGCTAGGTATTTACTAAAGAGTTTTCCAAATTCCTGTTCTTTTGACTCACTCAGTGCTCCGACCAACACAGGAACAATGGTAAACTCATCCTTATGGCTTATATGAAAAAGAAAAAAAATGTCATTTAAGAATAATTTCTAATAAGGTTATTTGTAATACAACAGCTGAAATTATACAACCCCAACACTTAAAAGGATGCTTTCAATTTGAAATACTGGTAATTTGAAGAGATCTAAGTAGTTCTAGTACTGAGCCTTCTCCAAATTCCCTTGACAATTTTTTCTTGTTCTACAATCTCTAAAAAACAAAAAACCCTGCAAAACACATAGTTCACCTTTGCTGGGATATATAATATCCTTAACCAACAGAAAAAACACAACTGTAGAGAAACAACAAAGAAATGGACTATAAACAAGACTGAAATACCCCTCTATAGATAAGCAGCAGAACTGACCCACACCAAAGTTTAACCAAGCCAACAGTGTCAAACTCACCCTGCCCCCAGGCCAGATCCAGACCACAGGGCTCCTCACAGGCTGGACGTGGGGACAGAAGTGTGCAGCAGTGGCAGAAGCAGATGTGCGGGTTAACACAGCTGTCACTCAACCCTGCCACCAATAGGCATCCAGCCTCCATTGGGGCCCACCAGGTTTCAGTAGTGGGCCCCAACCCTCCCCTCCCCCGCCCTGTTTGCCCCACATAACATCTCCATGTACTAGAAGCGGCCTGCAAGCCTTAAGTGTGACAACCCTTAATTCAGCCATCATTAGAGTCAGCACAAACCTCAGGCACTATAGGCCCTGTCACCCTGAGACTTTTACCCAAAGAGCCCAACTACGAATCAACCAAAATAATTTTTCCTGATTTTTCAGTCATATTATTCAAAACTGACCATCTGTAACAACCATAGGTATAAGTAAAACAGGCTGCCTGCAGATGTTTAAAAAACAAAAACGGCACTTTAAACTGCACGAGCTCCTACACCAAGCCCAGCACATGCCCAGAAGAGGCAGTGTGTTAGCTGGACCCAGTTTGCCCGATGTCTGTATAGATCAGGCGTTTTAGTGGGGCTTTGTTCGCGCTTTTATCTAATAGCTGATTGAATTAGTTTTAGATAAAGGCTCCAAAAAGCCCTGCTGAAGTGCCCAGTTTTTAAAGATGCTGCAGAGCTGGGTTGAAGTAATGCACTGCATCTTCCGGTAATGCATTTTTTTTGTTTTGTTTTGTTTTGTTCTTTAACCTCTGCACACGTAAACATACATATGCTCCCCCCCAGAGGTGGCTGGCTCCACAGGCCTATGCAGGCTGGACTCCATCCCCCAGACTCCTGCATGGTGCCAGGCAGGCAGGTGGGTAGGGCTGCTTCCGCCCAGTGTCCTCTGCGGTGCCAGTAGCCCATGCCACCTGCCAGCAGAGATGGAGGCTCCAGCGTGGCTCACCCAGGGCCTGCCATGTGGTGGTATTACTCAGGCCCCAAATAAAACAATCAGTGGGCTGGATCCACCCCTGAATTAAGTCATATCTTACATATCTCAGAACAAGCATACTTCCACTTGTGTGTTTAAATAGCAGGATTTTTTGTTTATTCCATTTGAAATACATACCCTCATGAATATTTATTTTTAAACTTGTTTCTCAAATAAAAATTCACTTTTAGCCTTAAAGCAAGGCAAAACAAAATCTAGGACCAGTAGAAGTTTTTCCCCCACAGCACTCCTATTCAAACAAATGTAAAATGTGATTTTTGTATAGATCATTCAAATTTGAATACTCAGTTGTTTGCTCTTCTCCCTGTTTCTATCTGACCAGGAAGTCCCAGCCTCTAATCCATATTTTTCCTTGAATTTTTAATGTAAAATATTATAAATTTTCCCACTAAAGCCTTACTTCTTCCTTCTGCAAATTACACACAATTCAAGTACATGACTTCAGTCATTGCACAGTTTTTTGGCCAAAGTACCTTTCCATGGCTTTAGCAGTATAAGGCAAATGCATTTCAATACTATGTTCATCTTCATCTGTCTGTAGAGACATACGCTCAAACATTCCAGTCTTCCACAATTCTCCATAAACTGAAGAAATTTAAAAATAATAAAATGCTTCATTAAAATAAAATCCTACCAAGCAAACTATATCAGAAGTGGCACAATTAAACAAAAGCACCTGCATTCAGAACTATGACCACGAAATCATTTTAAGTAATTTTCTCATTATAAGTATAAGTTGCTTCTAACCTGTTAGAAAATGTATATATATCAGTATCTTAAAAACTTAGCACATGGTAAAACAGCAGCAGTTTTAGAACCTTTCAGAAGCTTTCTAGAAATAACATAAATCATTGTACATTTTAAAACCAAGTGTCTGCTCATCTGCATAATCTCTGCATTTCCAGGTTTTCACCAAGTATACAATTATATATTAGTGGGGCAGAAAAACACAGATCTTGGAGTCATCATTGATGCCAAAATAAACATAGGCCGGCAGTGTGGGGATGCATTCAGGAAGGTCAGCCACACCTTGTCATGCATCCACAGGTGCATCTCAAGCAGGTCCAAGGAGGTGATCCTCCCCCTCTATGCGATACTGGTCAGGCCGCAGCTGGAGTACTGCGTCCAGTTCTGGGCGCCGCACTTCAGGAGGGACGTGGACAACATGGAGAGGGTCCAGAGGAGGGCCACTCGCATGATCAGGGGGCAGCAGGGCAGGCCCTACGAGGAGAGGCTACAGGACCTGAACCTGTTCAGCCTCCACAAGAGAAGGCTGAAGGGGGATCTAGTGGCCTGTTACAAACTAGTCTGAGGGGAGCAGCAGGCATTGGGGGAGTCCCTGTTCCCCCGTGCATTGCCATGGGTGACCAGGAATAACAATCACAAGCTGGCAGAGGGTAGATTTAGGCTAGATATCAGGAGGCGCTACTTCACGGCCAGGGCAGCTAGGATCTGGAACCAACTTCCAAGAGAAGTGGTGCTGGCTCCTACCCTGGGGGTCTTTAAGAGGAGGCTAGACGAACACCTTGCTGGGGTCGTTTGACCCCAGTACTCTTTCCTGCCATGGCAGGGGGTCAGACTCGATGATCTGCTCAGGTCCTTTCTGACCCTACCAACTATGAAACTATACTCTACCTGTTAATGCAGTTAAAAGTATGATAATAGTTGTAAATTACTGATATTTTCCTCGAACTCCTCCCTCTGCCTATTCTGTGATGGAACAAATGACAACACAGAAAAAACTTTCCACTCTACATATAATACAAAGCACAGATATGCCTTGTTCCAGTTCCCTGCAAGAGAATTCTCAAATTAAAAACAGTCGACTGACAAAGACAATATTTGCCCAAAACTATTTAAGTCTCTTAAACAGACCTTATATATTACTTCATTCTGAAATGTTCCTATTTTATAAAATTTATAGTCTTTGAAGTACCACAAGTCTTCTGCTAGTAAGCTGAGCGGTAGTTTATCAAGTCTTATGAACTGGCATGCATGCATGCAGACATTTTGTTCTCTCACTTGAATCTATGTCAATTGTCAGGTACTTTGTTCTAATCAATCTGCAAAAAAACATATCTAGTAGAACTATGCAATGGGTTGAAGTGGGTAGATCCACCTTACTGTAACAGTTTTCAATGCCAAGTTCCTCTCACATGATTTGTTTGGGTGGGAATAAACAAAGGTGAACAGTGTGTGGGGACTCAGTTTCAGAAGCATAAAAAAGACTTTTGAGATCAGTAAGGAAGTACCTACTTCAGTAAGGTACCTACTGATCTTACATCAGGTAGTCCTGTGGTTAGATTTTTGAGCATTCCTGGTTTTTTTATGACACAAAAAGTTTCATGCTTTGCATATAACACATTAAAACATAACAGAGCTCCAAGAATTGTACTCTACACTGAAAACAGCAGAAATCTGTATTAGCTTTACATGATTGATGACTTCTGTGAAAAAAAAGAAAATCAAACTTCCTAGTTTCTAGCAATCCGAGTAGTCTAACATGATTATTACTAAGCTCCTCAGGGTAAGGACAGTGGTCAGAACATTGGAGTTTTGGTCTGTGACTGGTGGTCTTACATACTACCAAAGAGTTAGTCACATTGCAGCAGTCCGTAAGACAAAAGCTTACTGCATACTTACTCTTTTGATCAATTCGAAGATCATACAGAGGTGTTCTATATATGTCCACACTGGAAAGTGCACATCGGGAAAGGGGCACATGATGGGAAGGCCCAAGAATAAAAATTTTCCTACTATAATGAACAACAGAAGCATAATTAATACAAACATGCAAATCAGATGAGATTTCTTCATGAATCTGTGTTAGTACAAGAAGTTAAGATCTGGCTGACCTTTGCATCTCCAGGGCCAAATATGAGAATGGTAAACCTAATGTGACAGCGAAGTTAGCTGCCAGACACGTGTCCTCAGTGGAGGAGAAAAACGACAGTTTAACAGCTACTGAAAGCTGCTTCTGATTAGCTTTGAGTTTTTCCTGAAGTTAAATTTAAGCCAGCTCTTTCCCCAATGGCAAAAATCTCTCCCAAGCCCAGTTTTTCATCCAGCTGTCTTACAGGTACCATTTCTTACAATACTGTTGATAACTGCAACCTCTATTTTACTGGGGAAAAAATCAATGCGTAATCATTATTTCAATTAGGGGTCAGTTTTTTCTGCCATGAGGTTTTGAGAAGTCTCTCACATTTTTATGTACTGTATAGACAGTGTCATATAACTTATTTTGCTTTTGCATAGGAAAAACCTACAATTGCTTCAGGGTGGGGAGACGCTGACAGGTTTGGCTTGTTTCTTGCACATACAGTGGTTCAGCAAAGCAAATGAAAAAAGTGGCAAAATGCTACATTGTCTCGCTTCAGAATTTATCCAGAACTCTAGCACACCTCAGCCATTACATCGAGGGAGTGGAACTTGTTTCCATGAAACATTCCTGATTATCAACAGATTTTCTTATAAAAACCCAACACCCTAATTTTGTTCAGAATATTTTGCAAAGAATGAGAATGTTAATTATATCAGACTTTTGTTATTTTTTTTCTGATCACAGGCTGACAGGAAAGTTGGACAGGAAGGGACTTCACAAGGTCATCTAGTCTAGCCCCCTGCTCAAGGAAGGTTCATCTCTGACTAAACCATCTGAGCCAAGTTAAGGTCCCTCTGACTTGCTCTTGAAAATTTCCAAGGATGGAGATTCCACAGTTTCTCTATGTAGCCTGTTCCAGTACTTGACCACTGTCATACTCTCCAACTTATATTTCCCCTGCTGAAGCTTGAGACCATTGCTCCTAGTCCTATCTCTTACAGTCACAGAGAAAAGCTCATCTCCATCCTCTCTGTAATCACCCTTCAAGTATTCAAAAATTTCCCCTCAGTCTTCTCTCCTCCAGACTAAAAACCCCTTGCTCTTTCAGCCTTTCTTCCTAAGTCTCGCCTCCCAGGACTCTAATAATTTGTATTGCTCTGCACTAGACTCTTTTCAAACTGTCCACATTCACCTTGAAGTGCGAGGTCCAAACTGGACACAGTGTCACAGAATCATAAAGCCAGAAGAAACAGCTCAGGCTCTTAATAAAACTCAAATCTCTGAAAAATGGCAAATCAAAAAAGAAATAAAACACTACATAAAAATCAGAGGCAATTCCCAGTCAATTTCAAAGTAAAATAACTTCTACATAAAATACTTAGGGAAACATATCTTTAAATATATTTTCCCTTTTACTTTGGCCTCATTTTCTGATAATGGGTCTATTTTCAAAAACAAAGTGGTAAGTATTTTCATTAATACTGTTATAGAGGACTATTTTAATGTCTGAAATGTGAAAATAATGAAAAAAACCCACAAAATTATTTTGAAATGATTAGCTAGGAATTCAACATTTGGTAACACCATCAGCTTGAACAATGCTGTCAGGAAATGTTTCCCACTTAAACTAGTTTATACAGAGAAGAGATCTATTAATGCTACTTACGTGATGTTAGCATCCACTTGTTTGTAAGCATGGGCTGCACAAGACCCACAGTAAGTATATCCTGCATGGCTAAAAAATAATTTTTATAAAATATTAAAACATTTGTGTCTAAGAATAAACGTATTACTAAGCAATTTAAATAAGAATGTACTAAACAATTACAGAAATAGCAACATCTAAAAAAAACTGGCAATCATTTATCAGGACTGACTATTATAAAAAAAATAGTTTTGGGTACATGTGGGATGTATTTTTACAGAGCATTCTAAAAATGTATTCTTTAAAGTGATAGTTTCTCAAGGAATGTGCAAGAGACTAGTGGAGATTCAGAGTAGCACAAAGAAAAAGTTAACCTGAAAATGGCAAGTAAGTCATGCACAACTCCTAAGAATAACTGGTACATGACATCCTAAATAATACTATATGTACACTATTATCTGATTTCTATTCATATATGATCATTTATAATCATTGTCCCAAAGAAAGACAACCTTCTAGTTCTAACCAAGCTGTATATTATTTATATACTAGCAAATTGCCCGTCAAGAATGATGGATGAATTTCAAATAACAAAAACAAACAGATAGATTTTACTTTTTACATTTACTAAATAAATTAAATATTTATAAAACTTAAATAAAATAGGCTGAACATTTGAAGATACCAGTCCCTTCCTGCACTTGCTCTCATTCCAGCAGGCTGGAGGCACACCCACCCATGCTGCTGCCTGGGCACCACTTACACGCCTCTTTGCTGGGCAAGGGCAAGTGAGCTACAAGCCTCACAACAGCCACCCACTCCCTGGGGCTTCCTCCACGCCACCACCGGGCACCTCCTTCTCTGCTCAGGGCTCAGGATGGGGTCACTGCCGCTCACCCACTGCCTCACACCTCTGCCCGGATTCCACTTTTCCTCAGCTGGTCCCTCCTTCTGTCCTCCCGGCTGCCCTCCCAGGAGCGGTTCAGTAGAAACAGCCATAGCTCCTCACTTTTTTCCCCAATTCTGGAACTTGGGATCATCCAGACATGGTCACTAAATAAATGCTAAGGTTTAGCAAAGAAATTTCTCTGAAGACACAAATGTTCTCTCTCTCTCATTTTTCAAGCTATTCACATTTAAAGAGTGTTACGGACAGACAGACACACAGACAGATGGACTAAGCCCTATATATATATAGAACGATATCATAGCACCGTGGAGATCAACATTTTTGGTTGGCATGCCTCAAATTAAGCCCTACACCCTCTCCAGTGATGTTTTTACACATGCTCTGGGGGGTGGGAGTGGGGCACTTTAATTAGCGTGGCTCTGAGTGCTGCTCTAATTAAAGCACCTGGAGCATCTCGTGTATCGGTGTCCCTGCACTTCAAAATGGCCGCTGGGCACCTTATCTAAAGCTCGTCGAATGAGTTTTAGTTAAAGTGCCCATGCTGCCATTTTGAAGCATAGGGACACTAATACACCAGACTTGGAGGCTGGATGGAGCATGGCAATTACTACGCACTAGCAGACCTGATTAATCAAGTCTGCTCTGACGCCCTATAATTACAGCGTGTTGGAGCAGCTTGTGTACTTGTGTACAGGCACCCCAAGTGCCACTCTAATCCCTTTCCCTAACCAATCCATGACTCTGCTTCTGTTTCCTGCTCTGCGCTTCCCACCCAGTCTGTTGCTCTTCTTTCTGCTCCCTGCCCCATCTCCCACTATGTTGCCTGCTCCTTCCTTGATCTGCCACATGCCACACACAAAGATTGCCCATGCCACTTGTGCCACAGGTTGGCCATTCCTCCTGGAGCAAATCCATGAGTACCTGAGTCTTCATGTCTATCAATATACTACACTTTTTCAAGATTTCAAGGCAATAGTGAGGAAAGAACAAGACAAAGGTGGATAGATGTGGCACTGAAAGGACAATAGGTAATAAGGGGTAGGTCTGGAGTTAATTTAGAAATATGCTCTGGCAATGAAAAGGATACATCAACCACAGAATGGATGAATGTAGGAAAAAAAAAATCAATGAAAATTAGCATAAGAACAGTGAAAGCTAAGGAGAAATTAACTAGAAGGACAGGGTGAAAAGCATTCCTCATCAGCATCCAGAACATGACTAGGCTTATGACAGGCATTTCTCCATGCCTGATTTTCCAAGAACATGTTATTAGTTATTTCCTATTCTGCAGGTGGAAAAGCAGAGGGAAAAGATAAGTGAAACGACTTGCGGGAGGTGACAAACAGAAATCTGAGACAGAGCTGGACAAAGAACCCAGGTTTCTTGTCTCAGTTTTGTTCCCTGTTCTCTAGACCCCAGTGTTGTAAGTAGGACTTTGGTCCAGTTTCTTACAATATCTCTTGTGGTATCATTATAAATAAAGAAGGCATGCTTAATTTAAAAAAATAAAATCACTGTAACTAAACTATCCTGATGTTCCATGGTGTCTGTCCTACCATTTTCTATCTGCTCACAGCACTGACCTATTTTATTCTTTCATCTTATGCCTCATCTACCTTTATTAACTTTAATTTGATCTTAATATATTTTTAGAAATAGCTCCCATAATGTTGCCATCATTTTCTTCTAATCTATCCTGTAAACAGAAAGCTACTTAGGGCTGGTTAGTCAGTCTAGAATTTACTATCTTCTTAGAATCTTTAAAAATACAGCTAGGATTTTTTTTCCTGCAAAAACAGTTGAACAGTTGAGACTTTTCCTTTTCACACCTCCTGTGTTACTTTGGTAATTTAGACATTTGCATAAGTGTTTGTGAATTTTGCAGTAACTGGCAGTTCTATCAACATGTTTATATGGCTCAGGGCATCTTTGATTTTAGGGTATGACAGCTACAAAACCGTACTATAGTTGAAGCTTCTTTCAGTATTTGTTCATGGCTTGCAGCAGAGAAAACAGTGAATTCTTTGATCTTTGCATGCGGCTAAATTTGAGTCAAATTCGTTCACTACTTCCAGAGACATGAAGAAACACAAAGAAAATGGGGTTACTAGGTTTATAAGGCTCAAAATCACCCTCTCAAGCACAGTGAACCATAAGGGCTTTTACAGTATTAAATAAGGGTTATTTTGCAAAGTACAGTAAAAGCGCCATTAACCAGAACCTTACAAGCCAGCATATTCTATTAACTAGCATGCCGGCTTGTAAGGTAAAGTGAAACCTGAAGTGCCCACCGTGGCACTTCTGGTTTCTCCAAGCCCCCATGGCCCAGGGTAAAGCAGCTTGCGCTGCTGAGCCCCCATTGCCTGGGGCATAGCAGGCTGCATGGGGCCCACCTCCCTGTCCTGCAGGGCCCGCAGGAGGGGCGGTGATGCTGTGCAAGGACGCCTGTTCGGGCTGCTCAATTAACTGACATATTTTGTTATCCAGCATCCCCCATTCCCGGGGGATGCCGGATAACAGAGCTTTTACTGTAGCAAGTTCATGGTCTTGTTGGAACACTGAAAAGACAATTACCTCATGTATTTCCTAGAAGTTTAGCATTAGTGTCACATTCTTTTGAAGAAGGAGGAATATTAAACCATGGTTTCCAGGCATTTTCACTGTCTGAAGAGAATTATTATTTGGACTCAAATATATAATAGTTTCGTAGTTCTTAGGATCGGAAACAGATCGTTAGGTCCCACCCCCTGCTCCGGGCAGGAACGAGTGCTGGGGTCATAACACCCCAGCCAAATATCTATCCAACCTCCCCTCAAAGACCCCCAAGGTAGGATAGAGCACCACCTCCCTTGGGAGTCCGTTCCAGAGCCAGGCAGCCCCAACCGTAAAGTAATGTCTCCTGATGTCCAGCCTGAACCTTCTCTCTAACAATTTGTGGCCATTATTCAGGCTGGGTCACATCAAAGATCAACCTTTTTTAAAGCTTGATCAAATTTTATTTCAACATTTTGAAGACAGCCTTCAAATGCCAATGCAGACCAGATCGTGTCTAGAGCCCAAACCAAAATTTTAGAAATATTTATAACTGCAGGATTTGTTTTTTATGAAGAGAAAGAAATGATAGCAAAGGCAAATTACGCCTGAACTGATCCATAATTCAAACAGCACTTTAGCAAAGGTTGTTTAAAGAATTTAGATAGCCAATTTCATACCAGTTATACTACTATATAACTATACTTGCAGAGTTGGCATATTCCCCATGAGGGGCCTACAATACAGACCACAGTCCCTAGCCCCAAAAAGCCTCAATCTTCATACATCATTATAATGCACTCCTTGACCTTGCTTATTGGCACAGCCTTTCTGGGAAAATGAATGTTTTAAAGCATAGGCAGACAAGGTTCTTTGGGTAAATCTGATATCTTTTATTAGACCAACTCAAATAGTTGGAAAAATTCTTAGCAGGCTTTCAAGTTCAAATACCCTTCGTCTGAGGAAGCAAAGGTATTTGAACCCAAAAGCTTGCTAAAAAGAACTATTTCAGTTGGTCTAATAAAAGATATCAGATTTACCCAAAGAACCTTGTCTGCCTATGTCCTTAGATCAATACGGCTACAACCTACACCCTTGTTTTAAAGCATAGCATCTTTGTCCAGACAAGGTAATCATCTATTTGCACAAATTTTATGCAAGTTTCATGATACTATAAATACTTAAAGTCCACGAAACATGCTCTTAACTAAAACCAATACTTTAAGGCAGTGTTTCCCAACCTTTTTCATCCCACAGCATGCTTACATATATAAAAAAGCACTGCGGCACACCGGACGCAGAACTGGAGGAGATGGAGTGGCATGTAGCCAGCTGGATACTGACGGGGAGGAGTGGTACACGGCCGGCCAGCCAGCCAGCATTTTGGGCTGGAGCCACGCCGCCCATCTGTCCATGTCTGCAGCAGCAGCAGGCAGAGGGCATGGCTCCAGTCACGCAGGGGGCGTGGCTCCAGCCCAAAATGCCATAGCACACTGGTTGGGAAACACTACTTTAAGGAATGTCAAGATAAAGAAAGGATTTAACATCCTTAAAAACTTCAAATGCACAGATTTCATACTCACGGTGCAATAATGGCTCTAGCAGGTCTTTTTGTAGATTGTACTTGAGAAAGCCAACCTTCTAGCTGTGCATTCAGCTGGGGTCCTACAAGAAAAAAGACAGAATATGCTAAAGTAATGGAACGCTCTAGCATAATTTAAAATGTAACTTATTACAAAAAACAAATCACCACCAACTAGATTTTAAACTACCCAAGACTGAATTGAAAGCTTGTATTTCAAAAGCAGGAATAAAAACAATGGGAGCAACATGACAGTGTGGTTTACGGTTGCATTGGGTATGTTCTAGCCTCCTAAACTGTGAAGTTTTATTTACTGCACCAATAGTGCAAATCAGTTTCTGCTTTCTGTGCATCAAACAAATATGCATGCTGTGCCAAGGGCCACTGTTTCCAATGACAAATTCACAAGAGGGTGGTAATACACACTCAATTAATTTACTTGACTAATCATTTAGGGCAGGTGTAGGCAACCCCCAGCACAGGTGCCAGAGTGTGGCATGTGAAGGCTTTTTGCTTGGCACATGCACCTTGGGGCAGGTGGCAGGAAAGGGGCCAGGGCTGCGCTGCCACAACAAGGATTGGGTCCCTCAAGGCTCCTCTACCATCTGCCCCGGCACACCAACTTCTTACAAGTCAAGGTTAGGGGTATTTTTGGCACTCTACCCAAAAACGTTGCCAACCCCGATTTAGGGCATCTTTACCTGTGCTCTGATGGTGGGCAGAGGTGCTTTAATTAGAGCACCTGTAATTAGCTGTGCTTTCATTACAGCAGCTTGAGAGCTGCTGTACTTTAAGTGCCTGCAGCATCTCATGTATTCAGTGTCCATGCTTCAAAATGGCAGCAGGGGCACTTTAACTCAAGCTTGTTCAATAAGCCTTAGTTAAAGCACCCCCACTGCCATTCTGAAGCAGGGGGATGCTGAATACACAAAACGCTGAAGATGCTGGAGCATGCTAATTAGCACGCTCCAGCAGACTCAATTAATCAAGTCTGCTCCTACATGCTGTAATTACAGTGCATCAGAGCATGCATCCTGCATGTCTACAGGCACCCCTACCGTCTAAATTTCAAGCTGATTAAATAGGACAATTATGCAAGCCTGAGAGAACAATATAAAAAAAAAAATCATGCAAGGTCAGGATTTTTGCAGATGACAGTTTTTACTGGACTTCCTGCACCGTTGGGATAGATTCAGACACGCTTTTGGGCAGCACAGTACCTTTTCCTGGGTTTACAACATCACTTCAGTATTACTAAAAACATGGATGTTACTCACAGGCCTCACACAATGAACTTTAACCCATTAAATGCTATATGACAGTAGTCAAAGGCTAAAGTAGTTGGTTTTTAATAATCCATAAACAACTAAAAAAATTAAACTAGCAGCAAGCTGATAGTTAGGGAGCCTGCAAAATATACGAGACTGCCTAAAGTGAAAAAATGCCATACCTATTTTATAGTACAGGTTTCCCTCACCAACCACAGTTTTGCCAATTACAGTTTTGAGTATCCACATTTCAGAGAAGGGGGGGGTACAGTTGGAAAATAGCCCCCACAGCCCCCTGGCCCTGCTTGTGCCTCTCACTCCACCCTCCCACCCCACCCCCCCAAACACAAC